AATTGCATTCCATATTTAAAATGAGTTAATAATCTCTTCCCACAACACCCTAGTTCATCCTTCCTTTCTTCTTTTTTTTTTTTTTTTTTTCTTTCACCTATAAAACTTTGTTTTCCATTGGGGTACTATGATTTACAGAAAATATTTGATGTTGATGGGGAGACAACACCAGAGTATCAGTTTACCCAAGGTGAAATTTTTGTGTATACAGAGAGAATTTAACCTCAAACACTCAGTTCACATATCCATGTGTGATTTATATTGCCTCAGGCTCTGAGGCAGAGTGAACATTGACACCCTTTGATGTTGAAAGAAGCCTAGTGACTGGCCTTTGGAGAGATTTGTGATGTCTCTATCAGCCTGTCAATGGAAAACCAGGCAGCAAAGCCAGGCCCCCTAAAGATTTCAAGGCCTTGTAGGCAGAGGTGTAAGCATTTTACTTCCACCAAGTGCTCCAGAGGCCGAGCGTACACAGCTGGGCTAATTGAGTGCTTACAGGGCACTGGCCTGCAGCTGGCATCTGCACAGCTCTCTGTGACCCTTTTGGCCCAGGAAAGGTGCCAGTGTCACCAGTAGGGACATTTAGCTACTACACACCCCTGGAGTGCTGAGGTTTCTGTTGCTGTGTAAATCTCTTCATAGTAGGGATGTGATAGCCCATGGCTAAAGTAAGAATAAACCTGGATTATTAGAAATGGAAAACATTTTCCTGCACTTGTTGAGAGTGTTGAAATTGTTGAAAGGCAAATAAGCTTTGCCTAGAATTTCTGCTCATTTCTGTCTGGGTTTGCCCAGAGAAGCTGTGGATGCCATTCCTGGAAGTGTTTGAGGCCAGGTTGGATGGGGATTGGTCTAGTGGAAGGTGTCTGTGGCAGGGCAGTTGGAACAAGATCATCTTTAATGTCCCTTCCAACCCAAACCATTCTGTGATCCTATGATTCCACGAATCCATGGAGCAAAATAGTCTTGAGAAAGTTTGACAGGTCACAGAGGAAAGGAAAATGCTGCAATGCACAACAAAAAGGCTCCTGCACATTCTGCACTGCACCTCCCTGGGACAGGAACAGACCATGCACCAAGGTTTGCAGTGGGAAGCAGCTGGCAAGAGAGAACAGGATCTGCTCCTTGTGAGTCAAATTCCCAGGAAATGTGTTGAGTAACATTTTGGAAGATGGAATTCAATGCAATGCTGTGAGGAAATGGCTTGAAAACAGTAATATATGATACAATAAAGACAGCTGTAAAATGGTTTATGCAGAATTAGGGACTGCTAGCTGGGCACAACAGGAACTAAGGATTACTGGGGATTATACACTGAAGATGCACCTGAAATGTGATGCTGTTGCAAAAACAAAGGATCAGTTTTTGGTCACCCATGCTCACATTGAGGTTAAAGCTCCTTTGAATCAGGTGTGTCCAAGGTTGCAGCTCAACAGGACCATCCAAGCCCCTGGAAACTAAGCAAGGGGAACTGGTGTGTGCCACTTGCCAAACAACAGAGGAATTGCTTGTGAGGGAGAGACTGTGGTAGCCAGAGACTGAATCTGCTTCCTGGTGGTTGAGGAAAAAAAGGTGAAGCTGCAGGATCAGAGAGGAGAAGGAGCAAGGGTCTTCAAGCACTTCAGTGAGAAGTGTCATTAAAAGCCTTACTCTGATGATGGCTCCTGTGTCACCAGAAAAGGAATCACAGATTGCTGCTTTGTGTCTGGTTCATTTGACATGTAATCAGAGTTAAAAGTTGTAAAATGTATTTTTGCTAAGCCAAACTTAGTTGGGCAGCAAGGCAAGTTGAGAAATATGGCAATAAATTTCTCTCCCGCTCTGGCTCCAGCACTGAGAAGCACCCACACCTACAGCATTAGTAGTGCCATGTATTGTCCTTGACTTGTTCTCCTCCCTTTGGAAAATCCAGCACAGAACCATCCTTCTCTGTCTCTTCCCTTGTGCCCTTCAAGTAAAAGGACAGTGAAGTTCCAGGCTTAAAGGTTGTGAACAGAAAATCTGAGGCAGGAGAGCAGATATCCACAAATTTGCCTCAGTGGGAAAGTGGAGAATAATTGTGGGTTCTGATTTTCCAGGGAGCCTCTGTGGGGAACTAATAGTCTAGACTTGTCCTTTTTGAGGCCTAATTATGTCTCTCTGTCAAGCTATAAAAACAACAGTCTGTGGCATCACAAGGGAAAATGAAAGCTATTGGCCTGTGTTCTGCATTTAATAGGATGTCAAATCTAAAGCACAGTCTGACTGGTTTTTGACTGGGGTTAGAAAAGAAAATGCAACTAATTAGGCTGTTTCTGAATTCCCTCTCTGTCTAATGGCTGTGGACTTGCAAATTGTAACATACTGGGAGTCCCAAACTCTCTGATCAGTGCTCCTGTCTGGAGGGGAGGGGTCTTTCCCACTGATGGGACTCAGGCTCCACCTGAGCAGTGTCACTGTTAGTGGGGACAGTTCCCTGGGAAATGCCTGGTGCCATCACACTCTCTGTGCTCCTTGGGAAGTGACATGTGCTGTAGATGAACCAGGCTTTTACAGAGTGCATTGGTGATTAATTCCTGAAGTCTTTGAGGATGAAGGAACATTTGGAAACCTTGGGTACAAAATGCAGCCTTTATTCTTTGGGTATCACAGTCCCTGGATTGAAGTAAGACACAGTGGTCCTGAAAGAGTTTCCATACCTCTTGTGTAAAGAGGTATGGAACTTAATGTTCACCCCAAAATACCCCAGACATTTAATGTGTGTGCTAAAGCAGTTGGTCTCAACCTTTTTCTGCCCTTTTATGTCCTGCTTTTCCACCCTTACCCAAGTTCTGACCATTAACTCAGCTCCCACACTCTTAGAACTGCCTCCTCCCTGTTTGGAGCCCATCCTAAGCAAGCACCAGAGGACAATCAGCTCTAGAAAACCTGAGGCAACAGGAGGTGATGGCCTATATTTAAATGACTGATACATTAATAATTATACCTTGGAGTCTTCTGTGTCAGGGAGTGTTAGATGATGTCCTAATGCCTTTCTTTATCTTTTGGAAGTTAGTTTGAGGGGTTCCTTTTCATGTTGCAATAATTTCTTGGACAGAACTGCAACAGTTACAAGTAACTTTTACCTTTCCCTTGTCAGCTGTGCTCAGCTGGTTCCTCATGTTTTACAGATGAACTGAAGTAAAAGTGGAATTTGTCCCACTGTGAGAGAAAGGAAAGGAAGAAAGAAACCCAAAACTGTCTACAAGATTTTTCATGCAAGTCCCACACCCTTAGTTTTGCCATCTTTTTGACACAGAAACCTGATTGTCTTCTGCTCAGACATTCTGGGGTGCCTTTCTGGTTTTCATTCTTCTTTTCTGACTTTGGGTTAGTCAGGAAACTGCCAACTTGGCCTCATAGTCAAAACTGAACACTGTAATTCAAACTCAAAGGACATCAGTGGGCAGGAAAAGCATGTGGCCTCAAAATGATGATATTTTGATGTCATTTCTGCAAAGTCCTGCAGAGGGATTTGAATCAGGAAAGCTCAGTCAATGAGTCCATAAGAAAATGAAAGGTCTTTTTAGGAGTCAGCCTGAAAAGAAATAAAAAGGGTGGAAAAGAGTGTAAGGGGAGAAAGACTTCCATAATCCAAAGGAACATAGGAAACAGAGAGAAATGAGAGCACCTGGATCTCCTTGGTGACTGCCAAAATACAGTGTGACATCTCCTCATGTCTTGCCATCCACAACACTCTCATGGAGATTTAAGGTCATATTTTTCTGATTAACTGCACACTAATTTCACCCACAAATAATATTTTCTGCAGATACAGCTAACCCACGCTGTAATGTGGGTCCTTCCCAGGCTGTAGCTGGAAAAGAGACTCAAAGCAGCTTGGGACCGGTACTGGAAGCAGGAGAACCTTGTCTAGGCAGATCATTCTTCTCCAGCTTTGTATAAAGATGCCCAATTTGATGGACCAACAGATGACATAAACCAATATCCACTGTGGCAGTGGCAAAGAAAGAAAAAGGATTTTGCTATGGCTTGGAAATATCTTTATCCTTCTGTCCATCCTCTCTTCCCAGCTGTAGAACCGACCCCACTAAAAATGAGGGTGCTAAAACTGTGGCTTTTCTATGGATTATTCCCAGCTTTATTAGGAGGAGATCTGGGCAGGAAGCTGTAGCTTCATTTTGCAGTAACCCCAGGGTTTGAAGATGCCAAGTCCTCCTGCCTGGGCAGGGACGAGTCATGAGCTCCTTTCTGGGGCCAGCTTCCCAAAACTTACTGAGAAGCTACCCTGATAAGGCCTCTAGCTGTATTTTCAGGAAAGTTTTTGAGAATGATCTTGACCTAAATACCCATTTAAGTCTTGCTGAGTCTTGGCTGAGGTGGATTTATAGATTGTGCTTACGTAATTTCCCACTTTCAAGTTGTAGCCCCCAGTTGGGTGGGGATCACCCCCCCTCAGCCTGGGTAATGGGAGAGTTAGGCAGCACAGGGAGAACAAAATGAGAAATTACTGCTTCTGGGAGGATGAGCAGTTTGTTTGCTGTCCCCCACCAGCTCTGTCCTCCTGCAGATGTTCACCAGGGTTTCTCAATCAGCATGAGAAGTTTCCCAGCTGCCCTACGTTCAGCACAGCTTGTCAGGAGCTGCTGAAATGGCACATCTGAGCACCAAGGCAAAGATCCTGTAGAAATTTTGACCTTGACCAAGGCAGTCAGAAATTGCAGCTAAAGTAGAGGCTGCTTGTAAAGGAAGGGGGAATTAATAACCAAACAGCTCCTCAAATTTAGCATTGAAAGTTATAAAACTGGAATTCTGGAGGTGGGAGGGTTTGGGGTTTTCCCCCTCTGTTTTCATCTGTGTGGTTTGAAGGGGTTGGAAGGGACATGCTGCTCAAATAAAGGATCACTTTTCCCTTTGAATCCATGACATAAAGATGATATAAAATTTACTCCTGCGAGTTGCCATGTAAATCAATCCAAACCAAATAATGCACAGGGAGCAACAAAGCAGCCCAGCCCGCTCTTCTCTGCAATATAGGCATTTAATTTGTGCATTGAAATCCCAGGAACTGCAAAAAGCCGGGGCCTTTTCACATGTACATCCCCACACAAGCCTCCCTACCGCAACAAATGATTTATTATTTTTTTGGGGGGCAGCGTTCAGGGAAGGAAAAAAGGTCGTCAAATCCGTGTTCGATGATGGCACAGATTCCTTGGCTACCAAACGCAGAGGCCGAGCAGAACAAAGAGATTTGCATTCTAAGTGATGCAAAGCAGCCGGCAGTGTTTTAATGTTGTGTTTGCTCTGTGATGTCTTCATCAGGCGCTCAAAGACAGCGGCTCTGGCAGCCGTGGGTCCCCGCGAGCCTGTCAAACTCCGTTTCCATGGTTTTCCTTCAGGCAGCACCATCGGCAGACAGCACGGAAACGGACCCCTGCAACCTGTTCTGAGCAGTGTCTCTGATGTAGGGCCCCAGAGCGGGCATCAAACTAGCAACAAGCAGCAAGAAAATAACAATTTTGCTTTTCGCAGGTGTCAGAGCAGCAAACAAAAGGCTGTTTATAAAAGATGCAACATCCCCTTTTTGTCAGTGCTGGCAGTTTAAAGTCAGCCGGGCAGCGGTCGAGTTGCAGAGGTGGTTTTGGAGGGGGTGTGCTGTGAGAGTCAGAATTCAAATTGTTTCCTCTTTAATCCTTTAGGCTCACTAAATAGGGCCTTCTCATCACCAAACTAATAGCTATTAACGGCATCCCAATTATTCGTTTTGAATCAATGAGGGCTATTTTCTCGAGACAATTATATTATTTTCCAGACAAAGAATCAGCCTCACTCTTCCCTCACCTTGAAAGCACCCTTTCATTTAAATAAAAAGTTCAGAATATTTCAGTATGAAACCATATTTGAGCAGCGATGCTGCAAATTCAAGAGGTGAGAAAGATGAATCTGTGGTCTTTTGCCAGTGTGACTGTCTGTGTGCAGTGATGACATGGATGCCTGTGCTAAAAGAGCAGGGGTCAGCAGAGCTGACAGCCAGCCCCAGCTGGACCAGTCAATTTGTAAATACTGGTCAGGGTACTGCACCTCCTGCTGCCTCAGTTTCACCATGTGTGAAATTTGAATAATGATTTATTTCTTCTCTTGTGAAAGACATGGAGATGGAGTATTTGCCCAAACATGATTTAAAGCTCACGGTTACCCCTGTGGTTTTCATGACATTAGTGACTGGAGCCAGTGCAAATCCCTCAAGGGATAGTTTTCCATTAAAGAAAACTGATGGATCAGATGCTGTCCAAGTTACAAGAGAATCTGCTTTTTCCCTACCAATTAGCTGATTTTATCACAGCTGCCTGGGGAGGTTCTGGGAGCCACTGGTCTCCTTGGCTCCTGCTTCCTTTGCTGTACATCTGCCAAGCCAGTGAGAAGCCAGAAGTTGGGAGCACTGGATCCCAAGCTGCCTCTTGTTTCCTGCAGAGGAAAGGCTGAAGAGGACAGTTGGTGTTACCAGACTTATGGCTCTGGTGCAGGTCAGCTGGGTGCTTACAACAATAGGGCACACTCATCAGGGATTGCCACATCAGGGCTTTTTCCTTCCACATCCTTACACTGGAAGCCAGCAGGCTGTAAGAATGGTGGTCCAGGATTCCTGGCTCTTCTGGGGCTTTGAGGTTCCTAGCTGCTCTTTGGCTTTCTTAAAAGAAGCCACAATGTTGTATTCCAGCTCCTGATTTCATGGTTCCCACTGTCTTGGAGATGCTCTTTTGTTTTCTTTAATGGAAAAGGTCAGTGTGGTTTTGCCCCAAATTAATGTGGAAGCCAATGGAAAAAATACCAAGTCTCATGCAGAACAGAGATGCATTTTTCTGTAGATCTTTCTACCCAAAGCACTCTCGTTCATGGTTTGACTGAAGTTATCCCAAGTATATTCAGCAAATGCTGTTCCTGTCCTCACAAAACTCACCTCCTACACTTTTAGCTTTCACAGGCTGATTCAATACTCAAACTATAATTATGTGGCTCATTATTTACTGCACAGTATTTGCATGTGGAGCAGACTGAAGTCACTTGGTGTGTTTGGAGGTGCTGATAGCACCAGGGAGCAGATACAGGGGACCCATCTCTGCATCTGAAATCCTACCCTGACCCTGTGATTAAATGATGTCACAAGATCTGTAGAGAAAATGAACTTAAAGTTGAGAAGATTTCCAAACAGCTTATGACATATTGGTTATTCTAACGATTATAATTTTTAAAGACTTTAATTGATCTGTTAAATAAAGGCAAGACATTTTATAAATGAATAACATTTTAATTTACATCACTGATCAGCACCAGAACAAGGCCAGGTACATCCATACCGATGGTGTAGCCAAAGTATTAACATATCCTGGCATTGCATAGGAACTTTCAGAAATAGTTAAATTCCTTTTCCACTGATAGAAACAACACATTTGTTCTCAGTGTATTACTGCACAGTGCTGAATCTGCTCTGACTTTCTCAAGAGCCAAGTGTAGAGCAGAGTGAGTGTTCAGTGAAATGAGCAGTGGCTGGCATGAAGGGACGGGGTGAAGCTGCCACAGACTCTCACAGAGATTTCTTTTGATCAGAGGAACTGCTCGTGACTTTTGTTCGGCATCTCATGGCAAAAAAAAAATATCTCTGATGAAAAAAAAAAATGTGTCTGTGTCACAGCAGAGTCAGGAGCTGGCAGTTGTAGTGCCTAGTCTATTTTTTCTAATGAATAGTTGTGTTTGCAGGGTATTCCATGATCACACAAAGTGCGGCTTTGTATTGTTTCCCAATTTTGATAATAACTGTAAGCGGTGTGGATTAGAGCAAACAAGAGGCAAAGCAGAGCTGACTTCATTCAAGAATGGTTTGGAGCCATACTCCTGTGTAGCAGGGGAAAGGGGATGTGTCTAGGGAGCAACTGGAGAGAACTGGGAACATCAGCTTTAAAACTGAAGGCTTTGGAAAAAAACGTCTTCTTCTGTGTATAGTTCAGTACCATTGTTATTTATGATGGGATTGAGCTGGAGGGAGGGAGGCTGCTCAGGGGGTGCTCACCTTGTGTTCTCTCCATCACTCTGTGAACAAAATCATGAAATCAGGAGATTTACAGTTGTATTTATTTTGGAGTAAGAATACTTTTTTCTGGTTTGGAATATATGTCTCTAGAATTGGACTTGTCACCTAGTGCAGACAAGATTTGAGCGCTGCACTGATCTGTATGGAGAAGCAGGCTGAAAGTGTGGGAGGGGAGAGCCTTACCTGGGAAGGCACTGCTTTCCCCAGCAGAGTAAAACTACAAGGGAAAAACCCATTGCTATTCTGGAATGAGATTATGCACAGCTGCCCCAGGAGCTGGGCAGGGAGAAGCATGTTAACTTCTTGTGTGCTGGGAACCAGGCAGCACCCTTGAGCCCCACCACCAAATTATTCATTATTCTGTAGGATCACCCTCCTATGGATGTATTCCCAGTTTCATGCATTGATTTAGTACCATCAATACCACTATTATTTTATTTTCTATTATTAATTTTCCGGCTATTAGAGAAAAGGGTAATACTGCAGAGAAACATTCTGCAGTATTATTCTGCCAGTAAGTAGGGATTTATGATGTAAGAAGTCTTTCTTGTCTGTCAGATTAGTATTATTCTTTGGAATCATGGCTAGGAAAGGTGAAAAATAAAATCAGAAAGGACAAAGAAGTTAGCACAGCACAGTGTGTGTGAGGTACCCTGAGCAGAGAAAACACACTGAATGACACACTCAGGGTGAAACACAAGTGGGAAAGAGTAATTTTATCTCAGCACTTGCTTTGGCTGACTTCTCAGTCACCAGCATATTAATGGCTCTTCCCCTAGCAACTACAGAGCTTCCAACATGCAACTATTCTTTGGTCATAAAGACAAAAAATGGAGTTTGCCAGAACAGAGCTACCCCATTCTGGGCTGCTGACAACAGTCCCAGACTGGCCATATGCTCTGCTGCGCTCACAAGTGGTAAAGCAACATTTTTGCTCCCGCTGGTGCTGGTGGTGTCCCTGCGGTTGTTATTGTTTCCATCCAGACCCTCTCCTCTTCCCTGGAGCTCCTGCCTGTTCTGTCTCAGGCTGTACCGACAGCAATGTCACAGCTCCTGAGCGCCGAGGAGAGCGAACAGATGTAGCTCTTGTCACATCCCTCCGAGCCGGTGGCACGGCCTGTCTCGCTTTATTCCCTGAAATAGCTTGTGTGGCATGGCCCAGGGGCAGTTTGCAGGGAAAGGGACATGGATGCTTCCCACAGGGCAGGTCTGATCAAAGGTGGGTGACTGCGTCCAACAGGGACGAGCAGGACCTTCCACCTCTGGGGCTGGGGGGCTGAGAGTAGTCGCTTTTCAGGTGGGTTGTGTGTAATCAGTGAGATGGGGAGTGAAGATGAGGTGGGAAAGGACCAGGGGATCCTGTAGGGAATAGACAGGCAATTCTCAGTTCCTACCTAGCAGGAATTCAGGGCTCTGAAGGATTTGAGGTAAAGAAAGTGTTCCCTCTCTCAGTGAGAGCCATGGGATTTGGATTTTCTCTGCATCTGTGTGTTACCTGAGACCCCCAACTCTGCCTCTGAAGGCTGTGCTTTCTTCATGGTGTGGTTCATGAGCAGCTTAACCCCTTGCTGCATTTTAAAGGGGGTTTTCCTCCTCCATCTCTCAGCTAGACCCCCCCATCTTCCTCAAGTCCAGCCAAAATCTAATAACGGAGCAGGCCATGTGGGTAAAGGATTGCTGTTCCTCCTCAGGGGGAGCAGAGAGGTTACCAAGGTGGCCTCACATCCCCTGGCACTGCACCCCTGACTGGCATTATCACCATTAACTCTGCATTAAGTATCTGATGTTTTAGTCCCCTGGCGAAATCTACTGACCCTGGGGGTTCCTGATGCAGTGGACAAGCTCAGGTGAGCAGCAAAGCTGAGGGTGTATCAAAATACTAATTTCTACCTTTAGCCATTAGCAGTAGAGGGAAAAATTAATTGTTCTGATTCCTTTCCAAGGAAGACAAGAGTGGACAAAATACTAGGTTCTTCCCACTCTTAAATCTATTGTCTTCCCAACCCTACTCTTATCACAATTTGCTGTGCTTTCAGAGGAAGAGATTCAGTGCTACATGCTGTTTTTAGGGTAAGGATTTTTGTGTTTATCTGCACGCTCACTGCCAAGGCAGATAAGAGACTTTATTCTCTACATTATCACTATTTTTCTTCTTTCTAGAAGCCAGACTGATTTTAGAAAGAAGGGTAAATATTTGAGCTCGTTGTGCAGACCTAAAGTGAGGCTTTGCGTCTTCTTATACTTATTTATACCCACTAAAACAATCAGCTTCACGAGGCTTTTTCAGCTTTTTTGGGCTAAAACCTTCCCTTTTGCTGATCTCTGTTCATTATTCTGTGCTAGACTCTTCCCTCCCTTGATTACATGTTATCACCTTCAATAGAACAGCTGTGTCATTGCTAAAGGGTGTTAATCTTCCCCTACCTCACACCTTATTGACAGCCAGAGTCAGGAGGCCCCCAGTCTTTTCTGACTTGGGTGACTTCTCAAAACAATCCTTTTTTTAGCTTCTTTTCATTTTGTACCAATCCCACCGCGGTCTACAGCCTGGCACAGCCCCTCCTGGCTTGAAATGTTCTGCCTGTATCAGTTCTAGTGATTATAACCAGGAGAACATTCCCTAACAATGTCAAGGGACAATAAGCCCCAGCTAATCAGTAAGCACAATACCTGGAGCCCAGAATAGAAGCTGCTCCGGCAGGTGGGACAGCTGGCTTGAATTTTTATGTCGTGGTTGTGAAAGGCACCACAGCTTTCAGCGAGACAAGAGCAGCGCTGACAGTGACAGATCCCCTGTTACATTGTGCCACCAAACAGAACGAGACACTTCAGCAGATACAGTTCAGCTTTCTGATAGTTTTGTAATGGGTTGGAATTAGTCTTCAATTTTATTTTTTCTGAATTCCCTTTGCCCACCAGTGTTCTGGGTTGCCCTGCAGTTCCCAAGGTCACCTTGGTGTTTTGGAGATCTGGAGTGTTGACCCGACTCTAGAAAGATCCAGGGCAAATTTGTGTGCTGAGGTGATTGCCTCAAAAGAGATCTCCCTTAAAAGAGCCAGCACAGCAGTGGGTACCCCAGCTGGAATTTCTGCCATCCCATGAATGCGGGGTGCAAGGGGATCTTTTCCAAACACAGCCTGCTGTGCAGTGTAGGAACAATAGGAAACACCTTCTTTTAGTCTTTACACTCCTGACTATTAAATAGATGAAGATATTCAGATTTATCCTGCCTTTGTTCAAACACAGCCCTGAAGTGCTGAAGTTGGGAAGAAATTGCCATTTCCTCTAAAGGCAATGGAAGGAGATTAAAACCACTGAGCTCACTGGTGTCACTGCATAGAAGTCTTCCCATGGGTGACACAAGAGACCTCAAGCAGTGATTCCAAATAGGAGACATGAAACAGGCAATCACTGTCAGTTGTTCTGGTCTCCTCTTACAGCCACTGTAGCAGAGCTGTGGCCACCAGAAGGATCTGAGCAGCCCCATGCTAATACAACTTCTATTTCCCACCAAACCTGAGCATTTCTGACAGCAGAAAGCATTTACCAGTGGACTGCTGAGCACATCAAGGTGGATACAGCTCTCTTGTTTGGATTGGGAGCTAACTACAGAAAAGGGAAACAAATGGGATCATAAAACAAATGTAGCATTTATTTTATACTGCAATTTTTTCATCATAGCTCTCCAGTATTAAAAAGGCAGCTCAGTGCAGGGGTATCAGTACAGAACTGAGAACTGGGAGTAAAGGGGCTTTTGCAGGACTTGATGACCTAATTTTAACCCCAGTGTAACTGGAGTTATATAATTGAATATGATAATTAAATTTATTAGACTGGTCAAAACTGGGGTAGTACCAACAGGAAGTCTGTGCCCAGAACAGCTCAGGTAAAAACACTCACCTGATGATGTCTTGTCCTAACTGAAGATACATCTGCTGGCTATGACCCTCACACACAGTGTATCCCCCTTCAGATACACCTTCTGTGGGGCTGCAGCTCCAAATATCCTGCTCCACCTCCAAAACCATCAGTAGATTCCTTTCGGGCATGAACTTGGCCAGTCTCAGGTTGGCTTGGCCACATGTAGTCACTAAAAGAACAAGGCCAACACAGAGTGTCAGTAATGAAAGAAACACAGAACCCCAGGGAAAATATGAACATCAGGTTATTTGGCCACCAGCTGATTCCTTATCAATAAGTGATGCAGCAGAAAGCAGAGCTGTATTAACACGTGCTGAGAGGCTGCTGTCACATGGAGTGCCACCACACGTGGGGTAATAACCCAGCCTTGATACTCTGGAGCCCACAGCAAAGCAGAACGCGCCAGACAACAACTGCTTTTTCTTTTTCTTTGGTTTTTCCTTTTGCTACACACGAATAACCTGCTCAGCTCAGCAGCCCTGGCTGTCTGCACCCTGTGAGCCCTGGGGAGCTGAGCTGTCTGGCCAGCACGTCCGCAGCACCGGGGCTCCAGTGCAGCATCGCTCGCTGGCCGCGTGCGCCGGCCCTGCCATGGTTTGATGTGGTCAGAAACTACAAACGATTCTTTTTCCCATCTCATGAGAAGGAAACCCATCAAAAACTGGCTGAATATTTGATCTCACGTAAAATGAAAGACAAACGCACTCAGCCTAGAAATGGGTTTGCTTCGGGATGTCGGCTTTGTTCGCTCTGACCAAACTCTGTGCCCAGAGCTCCCGGCCAGGCAGCCAAGAGAACTCTGAATGTTATTTAAAGAATTGGTAAGGTCACGGTGGCCTGAGCCTCTCGGGGCTGAATTAATCTCCTTGGCACAGCAGCCCGTGCTGAGCTTATGCTCGCAGGTCCATTCGTGTAGAGCAATGCCATCCAGTGGCTGCTCCGATCCATCACAGAGCCAGCGGCTCCTTCCCGAGGCACATTCCAAGAGACAAAATGTTTCTGCTCTTGCTCCCAGCTCAGGTACTTCACGTTAAAAGGCTGTGACAGTGGCCAGCGTGATTGCTTCCAGCTTCTTTGGCTTTTTGCATGTAAAAACCAGGTATGTTTTAAGTAGCAGCCATTTGAAAATGTTCTTTCATTCAGGGGGAAATGGTATTTTATGTGTATAGTCCCAAGTACACAAATTTGTCATCAGGCCCTGGTTTTGGTGTGGGGAGTGGTTTTATGGAGTCATGTAGAAAAAGATGCTGATTTTTGAGACAAAAATATCATTAATGAATGAAACTTTCTCTGTTCAAAGGCCAAGAGTCACTCAGTGGGATGTTTTCCCTTGAGAGAAATCCCCAAGGGGAAGGATGACCGAGGGTTGGGCTGGGCAGAACCTTTCTCCATCAATGTCATACTTTAAAGAGCCCCACTATTGCCAGCTACCCAAGGGCTGGACATTTGGGAGGGGCGGGTAGAGAGGTTTAAACCTGCTCAGCTGCATCCCCCCTCTTGCCATCTCCCAAAGACCCACCATCACACAGCAGCACAGCCCATCATCCCCTAGATAAAGATGTCAATGTTTTTGCCTGACAGCCAAGTCAGCTGTAATTGCATGGCTTGGATGATGGATCACCCCAAGCACTGTGACTGTGGGACATGGAGCACCCCTGGAGCTCTCCAGTGCAGGGTCTCCTTTTCTTTTGGACCCGTTGCTGTTGCCAGTGATGCTCCAGCTGGGGCTGCTGCTGCTGTGTTTCGGTGCTGCCGCTCTCGCTTCGCGGTACAAATTCCAATCAGGCGCAACAAAGCCCACCGGGTGCTGCTGACAACAGGTGTCTCATTAAACATCTCTCAACCTTACAGGCATTCACATTGACAAGAACCAAACTCACACTCAATCACAGCTTAATCACAGCCAAACTCTATTAACAAGTCATACTAATTACCAACTTCTAACAATTTCTCAGGTTCAGAGGCAAAATATCCTTTCTTTATAGATGAAAACAGACTTGTGATACTCCAGCTCTGGCCATAATTAGGTCTTTTTAAACGAAACAAAACTAAAATAAAAATCTAGATGGGTTCCTTTGTGATAGCAGTCCTGAAGTACAGTTGTACAATGAGATGTTTTGTTTGTTTTAATTTTGTATCTGCTGTGTTGCCCACAAGGGTCCAATTAGCTTGTTACAGATGCTTGTATCACTTTTATCCATTTGTCTTTTTTTTTTTTGGTTCTCTTTTTTTTTTTTTTTTTTAAGAGGGGTAACTTGTAGCACAGATTGCTGGCCTGCAGGCATCCAGAGATCAACAACCAGCTTTCTGTGATACCAAGCTCCCTGTGAAACAGGCAGCCCTTACCCACAGCATTCATAATGCAGAGGGTAAAACAAATAGAGGGGAGGGAGGAGCTTGTGCTGGATTTTGGATTATCATGGAATAATCTCGTGTGTTCAGAAATGGCCTGAAGGTGGCAATTCTGCCATGGCTAAGAATAACTCTGACAAACTTTGGTTGCTACACCTTGGAATGTGAAATGCAGGTTTTATTTTTAGTCACCGTGCAGCAAAACAGAAAGCTCTGAAGAGGTGGCTTTGAATTGTACAGGTCACTATTCACTCCTGTCCCCTGGCAGGCTCAGCACATGTGCAATTCCATGCTAACCTGGACACTTTCCTCCTTTGTGTGGCTGTATTGAGTGCCCAAGCACTTGAGAACTCACGTGTATAATCGATACACTAACAAAAGGGAACATATAAATAACAGGAAGAGTCTGACTTGAACTGACACTGCGGGGATCACAGTGAGGGCTAATGCCTCATCCTTTACTCATGCTACTGCTGGAGAGGACAAAAACACACACCAGACTGAGTTAAGGACTAACATCAGATTTCCCAGCATTTTCCAAGCACTGTGGTTCAAGGCAGAAATCCTCCTCTGAATACCTGTGGTGCAATATCCAGGAGCTGCTTCTTTACCTGCTCTTTGGTTTAGTTGCTGTTTGCTTCTCCTGTCCTTAATTTTAAAAGGGGATTAATGTCTCCCCTGGAAGAATCTAACTGAGGCAGCTCAGCAGAGACTCACCAGCTTGAGGCTGAGCATCAGCAATTATTGGTACCTCTGGCACAGGCAGCTTTGTCTCTTCAGCAAGGTGTGGCAGGATGAACACCAGATATCTGAAACTGCTGGGAGAAGCCTGCGTTGTCTGGGCTAGGTTGGTGTGATGTGGAATCTGTTTGTCTTGCTGTGAGGCTCTGTGGGCCTGCAGGCACCCAGAAGCAGCTGCAGAGGGGAGCAGGGTGGCACCCAGCTGTGGAGGAGATGGGGCAAACCCACCCAACCTTCCCTCCCCGCAGGCTCCATCCTCGGCTGGCCCAGGCTGTCAGAAATCAGCTGTGACTGTGGTGTGGTGAAGGGTCACAATGGCTTAATGGCCATGCAGGACAGTGCAAACTGCTCCAAAAAGTATTGTTACCTGGCAAAATCAGAAGGTTAAGGTTTGGTGCTGAAAGCTTTGTGTTGCAAGAGTACACAGTCTTCTCCTGACACTGTCCTGGTGCTGACCAGGTGAGCTGGAGTGGTGACCTGCCAGAGGGTGGAGCACAGGGGACCGCGGATCAGCACATTGCACAAAGCATAACACACAGCAAAGCCTTTTCTGCATCTCTCATGTCACTGAAGGTGAGTTTCTGAGGCTCTGGAACAAAAAAGTAGAGATGTTTTGTTTTGTTGTTTTGTTGTTTTTGGTTTTTTTTTTTTTTTTTGGTGAAAATGCTTGTTTTCCATGTAATATCCACTCCTGCTTGAGTAGCAGGAAGGTAAAAAGAAAGATCTTTGTTGAGAGCCATAGTAAGGCAGGATGAGAGATGAAATATCCATCTGCAGTGGAATAACCATAAGAGCGTTGATGCAGCATTTCTTTGGGGAAAATTGGGGAGATTTTTTTCTAGCTATAGTCTTGTTTCTCTTCATGAGAGGCTGTTTCGGATCAGAGCAGAGCACCCTTTTCCCTGGCTTTTTCATACTGATCATGTGTGGTCAGCAATGGCCCTCCATGTTCTTCCAAGTTTTTATCTGGCATAGGAATTCCTTTCTTCTTCATGGAATTTTGGTATTCCTGGAATTAAAACAAACAAACAAAATCCACCCAACAAAACCCAAAAAGAAATGAATTAAACCAATTGAAACTTTACTATTTTGCAGAGCCATCACTCTGATCAGAAACTGAGATCCTGCTTTGTGCTCCTCCAGTGTGGAAATCTGTCAGGTAAATAGAAATCACCTCGTAAAAGCCTTTAAACAGCTCTGGTTTATATTTTAATTGAGGAACAGAACATTTTAAGCACTTTTATTGGGTGGCGCCTGCTGAATGACAGATGTCTGCAGCGGAGTAATGCTGAGCACACTTTCATAAAACAGAGAACTCCTTGCTTAAAACATTTACAATTAAAGGCTTGATTGAATAACAATGAGTTCTGTGCATGGAGCTCATTTCTGCACTTGTTTGTGCACCTGAAGCAGGCTGTGATCATTCTGTAGGTTGGATACGAGGTGCCAGTTGCTTTGTTCAGTGACCAAACAGTGCTCACGGGCACAGCTGGAAATGTGCCTTTGATTTTCCATCAGGATAGAGATAAGGTGCCCTGTGCTGCTGTGCTGCCAGACTTGCTAACACCCTTGTTTCAGCTGCTTTGGCTTTATTTTTTTGTTCCTTTTTTTTTTAAGCTACAGGTTAGTAAGTCTCCCAATTTGCCAAGAGCCAGAGATTTTAAAATGAACACTAATCCTTTGCAGCTGAGAAAGTCTTAACTAGCTTCTGCTTTACTTTTCCACCTAGATCCTGTGACCCCTATTACTGTAATACCCCAGAACATCACCTCTGGTCGTGCACTGAGCCTCACAGTATCTGATGGAAGTTAGACTTGCATTAGTATTATTTTTCTCTGTTATATATATGGAGAACTGAAGCACAGCCAGGTCAAGTGACTCACCCAAAGGTGCTCTTTGAAAAGGGGTCCTAGTGCTGTACACACGTGCCCAGTCTTTGGCTGGTATTTAAAATTTAGCCTTTTGGTCGCAGAAATGGCTTCAAGCAAGCCCCAAACACCCACCAGCAGACCAGATGACATGGCACAAACCACAGCCTTTTGCTCAAAGCCAGCTGAGAGACTGAAGTGAGGAAGGATTTTGAGTTTCATCCCTGCTGAACTGAGGAAGATGGCATGTGAGCTGACATCACTGCAGATCTAGGAAGGCACGGAAAATCCTAACGGAGAGAACCTGGACTTTGGAAAAACAGCCTCACTTTTCTCAAAAGAAAAGATGAATCCACAGAGTGGATCTTGCCACAGCAGAAGGAACATGTGTCATGGGAACAGCAGAGGCAAAATGTGTCATGGGAAAATCTTGATGGATTCAGCCCAGGACGCGAATATGCAAATTGAGACCAAATTAAATGCAATTGAGCAAGATAACACATATCCCAGCAATGAAGAAAGCTCACAGCACACTCATAAAAAAAGATGGAGTTTAAATCCAAGGGGAGGGGGGGAGGGGGGGGCCTGAGGATATCTAAGCAGTCCCCAGTGACAAAATTTTAGCAGGAATATGAAAGTTTCTCAAAAAAGGGGTCAGGAAATTGTTGCAGGAATCAAACAAGGAGTAACTGAAGTGTAAGGGCCCTTTACAGAACCCAGTGGAAGAGGTGTAACCTGCCCCCCAACACAGCAACGAAGCACAGGTACTAAATAATAATATTTTTCTGCTATTAAAAAGTCATCCTGTAGTAGCTCACTTCTGGGATGCTGTATATTTTTTCACTTCCTGACCTGCTCTGCTGAAACAGGGATTTTCAAGAGTTGCTGGTTTCCATCTCCAAAGTAGCTCAATTTCAGTTCCAGGGGAAAATAAACTCTCAACTAGCCTCATTTGTAAAATCTTTGAAGATGTGGGAATGTCCTCTGGCTGTTAAGGAGAGGGAGTGTGATTCAGAGACTGGTACAGATATATAAAGGGGTTCAATATTTAATTAAACATAATCTTCCTTGTGGCACTGAGCTCTTTCAGGAATAAAAATCCTTGGGTTTTATTACACTATTCTCCAATATGTGACAACACAAAACCTTTTGCAGGGCCATGCTGGCCCAGCACCTGCCTTCCCTGTAGCAGCACTTGCTGCCCTGCTGCTGCCAAGAGAACATTTTGGAAGCTAATAACTTTCTACTTTTACACGAAAAATCCATCTCCTGGGATGTCAGATCGCTCTGACACATCTCCCTGGTGCCTGGAAACTATGGATGCAGTCCCCACACCCATGGGGTGAGGAACCCACGGCACTGCTCAGCACCACAGCCTGCCCTGCTCCGCCCTTAGAACCAAACACACATTTTTCAGCTTGAAAAAACGGTATAGAAGAGAGGAAAAAAAAAAAGAAAAGATGTTTTTGGGTAGTTATTTTCTACAGAGAACAGGTGCCCTGATCCTGCACCCACGGCTGAGCTCAGCATGAGCAAAGGAGTTATGCTGGAAGAGTGTGCTGACAGAGGCTCTGAGGATCTGGCTTTGCAAAGGGTCAAGACAATCTCACTTAGGGCACAACTCTGTTAGTTTTGTTCTGGTTTTCTTTTTCTTTTTTCTTTTCTTTTTTTTTTTTTTTTATATAAAAGGAAAAGGACAGCATTAGCTCTTTTCTTTTCTGGAAGTGATATTCTGCTCTGCGTGAGAAATGAGAGCAAGTCAGTTTAAAGGGAAAGGGTGCAATGCATCAGGCACAAGCCTAAATAATACCAAGGTCTGCTGCTGCCTGGCCCAATTTTGTTTTTACATACGTAAAATGACTTCTAAAAGCATGGAGCTTTATTTCACCAACTTCTGCCTTCCGCTGTTAACCATTCATAGCTGCCACCTACTCAACAATGACAATGAAAAGAAATAATCTTTTCAGTAGAGGAAAGGTAATTATTAAGCAGGATGTATACTGCTCCGAAAAGCTACCGGGGTTTTCTAATGATAAATCCAGTCCCCACAAGCCCCTGATTGAGTGGGATGTGCTCTTTCAGCCTTGTGGGTGGGCTAGGAGCGATCCTTTGCATCCTGGCACAATGGCCTTGGCTGGAGCATTCGCATTCCTGGAAGTGCCCTGCTGGGAACCATCAGGGTTTCAAGAAGAGGCAGCCAGGGCTGGGGACAAAGCACAGCGGTGTCCAAGTGAATCTTCCCAGGGATGCTGGGATGTGAAGCACTCCTGGGTTTCTTCGACAACGACAACACGAGTCCCTGCGCTGTATTCCCCAGGCTTTCTCCGAGACGTCTACCAGCTACACCCTTCCTCCCCGCCTGCAATTAGCACTTCCAGTGCTGCAAAGGGAGATGAGATTCGCTCTCGCTGTCCTCCTTCAGAACTCGCTCACACCTTCCCCACTGGGTGGGAACATGTGCTGCGGGTTAGGAAATATTCTCATTGTGGAATTGCATTTGCAGCAATCCTACCCCCCGCCTACTGTTTGCTTCTGACTATCAGGCGAGCAGGTGAAGGCGAGAGCTCAGACACGGCTTCAGCCAAGCCTCAAATCCCCGGGACTCTCTTCATCCCCCCGGGAGTCTCTTCATCCCCCCGGGAGTCTCTTCATTCCCCCCGGGGTCTCTTCATCCCCCTGGAACGGTGTGTGCACCAATTGGGCCCAGTTTGTTTCATCCAGGGTAACTGGAGCTGGGTAAGTGCCTGCAATTTTGGAAGAGTGGGGTGAGGAGAGAAGTGGGAGTGTGTGACCGCTGACCTTAATTAGAGGAGATAAAAATGTCGAAACATGATTCCTAAGAAAACCAAGGAAGGCCTCTATTGTCGAGTGTTTCCACATGGATGCCACTGAGAAGAGGTCAAGTGCTTTCTATATACTTTAAGTAAACAGCAGATTGTGAGTTCACAGTCTGGACTGGATTTGAGCAGCCTCTGTCTTTTGCAAGATCATAATTGAGTCCTATGTACTTAAGATTTGATATCCACTGACATTATTACTTGACAGTGCCAGGAAATACAGCAGTGATTAAGAGTTATAAAGTTTGCAAGTAGAACGGCCCTATGTCACAGATGGCTCACCCTGTGCTAGAATTATCTCAGGCTCCTGCTCTGAAGGAGCAGCAAGAGGGGACTTTTGTAAAAAAGAGCCTGTGCTGTTGGCTTTCTGTGATAAAGACATGCCTCCTCATATCATCATTGTCACATAAAAATGCACAAAGCCTGCAAAATTAAATCTGCTAAATGAGCAGTGGGTTATATGTCAGGAACAGAGTGCTCCGAATCAGGCAGTTTATTTACATGCTACTGGGAAGCACATCAAGCCAAGTTAAAATGTTATGCGTAAAATTCTTCTGTTCATCTTGCAGCTACCCAGACTGAAGGTTAAGAAGACTGAATGTGGTGGGTTTGTCCCAAAACGAGCTCTATTTCCTTACCTGGAGGTGGGGTGACACCGAAATCAGAAATGACAGCTGTATTTCATATCTGCAGGTTCAGCTCTACCATCACTGCCAGCAGTTATGGCATTACCAGCAGCTTTCTTTGCAAGAGCTCAGCATCTCTTCCATACCCTGGAGACTCCTTGCCCATATTAAAGGTCTTGTTTACAGGCAGGGAAACTGAGTCAAAGAGCACTGATCCAAGTCCCTAGAAATCAGTGGCAGACCATCCAGAGTCCCAGCAGATCTAACGACTTCTCCAGCTATTAGAAGCAGGAAGAAAGGGCAGGAGCGCTCTTAGGGGTATAATTGAAAACAGATGAATCACTGGAAATCTTCCTGTCCATTCAGTGAGCTTAATTTGATGATTTCTAATAGTCAGGACCCAAATTATTTAGTGTGCACTTCTGGGAGGACAGAATGAGGTATGTAACTTGGGAAGCTCAGTCCTGGATAGTCCCTTTGGAAGTGAAGCTGTAAAGCTTTATATACACCTGAAGCAAAAAGACTTTTTTTTCCCTGTCTGCATCTGCCTGTGAAAAGGAAAACGAAAAGGCAGCCCATTTGTAGATGTTTTCTTGCTGTAACTCTGAATTGGAAATATCTGTCCTTGATTAAAGTGGGAAATGCAATTGCACAGGTCATTAATTATTACTGATAAACTGAAATAGTGATGGAGCCAAATAAGAATCTCCTGCCACTACGATGGGATTCTGGAAATAAAGACAGACCTGGGTGCCTGCAGCCTATTTGCATTTCCTTTCTGAAGTGCTGAGTCTCCAAGCCCTGCACGCACTGTCTGTAGGTGCAGATCCAGAGACCTGAACTTTTATCTGCACAGACGGCAAAAAGCAGCAGCTCACGGTGCTGGTGACACGTGAGCAGTCCCAATTATGGCTCCCTCCACATGACATCAGTATGCAGTGGAGGATCTCACTTTTTTTCCGCCAGAGGCAAATGAATACATTATCCAGCAGCGAGGCGTGGGGCAGGCGGCTGCGTAACTCTGGGGTGATTTGGATTCCACGCTCGCGTGGGGGTGTGAGCCAACCTCAGAAGTCATTTTCACTGATGCTGACACATAAGGCTTCCCTCAGAGACCTGTCTATCAAACTGCAACATGCTATGCAGAAAAATTAGATTACTCATGCTACAGTAAAGAAGGAGAAGATTACAGTGATGAAAAAAAAAATAAAATAAAATAAAAAAGGGCTTCAAAATATAACAGCTATTTATTAAATTAATGAAAATCCTAAGAATAGCAAAGTATCCTATAGACTTAGTAAAATAAATTCTTTAAAATTTATTTTACCTCTCGCAACTCATTTCAAGGAGAGCTAGGTGGAAAGACCCTATTAATTCAAATGGTGCCTCTGGAAAAACCACCACTTTATCATGATTGTCACACTACTGTACTTGTGAAATATCATTTTAAATAGTCATTATGATTTTGCTGCTGGTTTTGCTGCAGTCAGCAGCAGGATTTCCTTTGGCTTTGGTAAAAGCAGGATCAGGCCCCCTTGCTCTCTTTCTCTCTCTATGAATTGCAAATGGGTTGTTCACGTGTCAGCTCAGAAACCAGGCAAAGTTCACTGTGCTCAGTTCAAAGCAGCAAGATGAAGCTCAGGGCATTTCCTTCACAGTATTTGCTGAGTTCCTCAGGTCTACAAACGTGTTAAAGTGGTTTAATATGAAATCCGTAAAACAAACATTATGCAGCCATGTTTGAATGCTTGTCCAATAAAATCCCATTTTTTTTGGAAAAAAAATACAAAGTAGTAAAACATACTTAGTAAAGAAAAGAAAAGGCTATGTGAAGCTTAGTAAAATCCTATAAATCGGGATGCTGGGTAGCTTCAGGAAGGGTGATTTAAAATAAATCTGCAGAAGAACACACAAACAGAGACAGACACAGAGTCCATAGCTGGAAATGGATCTGGACCAGTGCCAAGGTTAGAACATCCCAGACAGCACTGCAGGACTGGTTTTACAATGTCAGATAATGGAAAGGTTTGACCAAATGCTGATTTTTCTTCTCTAGTAATAACAAACCTGTGCTGGGGCTTCTGCAGTATTTTCTCCTTGAGTTATTCCTCAGGAATGCTATTTGGGAAAGCTAATTGAGAGGTTTAACTCCACTTGCCCACGTTATGGCTGCACTTCCTGCAGCTGCAAATTCTATTTTACTTCTCCTTACCCTTTTCTGAGGAGCCAGTTTTTGTGTATTGGTTTGACTTGTGGAGTAGCTCCAGACACGGGGTTTACTTTCTAATCTTCAGTGTCTCTTCCAAATATTTCTTCCCAGAGATGAGTTTTGGTTCCCATCCAAGCCCAAAGAGGAGAATCACTCCGGTGGCCCTGCCTCTTGCACAGCCTCACTGGAGCTCACAGCCTGGGGACCAGAGCAAAGAAGAGATTCAGGATTCCCATTCCCATTCCCATTCCTCCCTTCACCCTGCTGAGGAGTTTTTTGGGGCTTTGGCTTCTTGATACAGACAGGTGATTTCAACATGACCACACAGAGGGGAAGCACGTGGAATCATAGGCCTCTTTAAAATAGTCAGGAGCAAATATGATCAGATCTGGTTCTTGATCTCATTACTGTCTGAAAGATTTGGCTGGCATTTTTAAATGCCATGATTTATGTTCTTCACCTTAAGACAGCCCTCGGTGGTGTAAACTGAGTAACTATTATTCTCCAGGGCAACTCTACAGAATCTGATTGGAGAATTTTCACAACACTGTGTCTATAAGAAAATATTAACATGGATTAAGACAAGTTGATAGATTTTAAACCAGGCTATTCAATGAGAAGGAGTGAGAATAAATCAAATAACTTTGCCTAACTACAGAAAGTATTTGTAAAGCCCTGTAAGGTTTCCATTTCCTAAAGCCACCTGCCATCTCAAATGCCCCTAATCAGTCACAGATGCTGAATACCAACCTGCTAACCCTACGGCTTTGAGAGAAAATATTGCACTTTGTAAACTCATTCTTGGGTATTTCCTTAATTTTTCTTAAACTAAACTTTCATCCCTTATTTTCCACTTAAATGTAATGAGTTAAATCAACTCTGACATTTTGGCCTGCTTAACCTTACAGTTCTGTTTAGCTGCTTTCCTCTCTACTTGAAAAGCCTGAAGACCTCAGGTTTGGGGTGTTTTTAGATTTTTTTTTTTTTAAATCATTATAGTATTTTTTTTTTTCACTCCACATCTCATGATCACCCTCCTGGTGTTGAGAAATTCTATTTAATGCAGGGTTATGACTGTTCCTCTAATCCACTGCCAATGTAAAAATGAATATTTTTCTGTTCTTATGGTTATCCCCACAATGAAGATGTACCAAAAACACTGAGCTTTTCTGAAGTACTGTGGAAACATTTATCAACCTGAAAAATAATTATAAAAAGAACCCCAAAAACACATGACCAAAGAAGTCCATTCCTGAAGAAATAAGAAAAGTTTTAGAGGCTTCATATATCACCCAATGGAATCAAAGCAAAGAATTTCATCAATTAGGGAAGGTACCAAAACAGGTCCTGGTGCCAAACACGGTTAGAGGCCATTCAGCCGTACTGGGGGATGGATGTCTTGGCTCTGGAAGGAGCCATTATTCCACTTCAGCTCGTGAGGACAGGCTGGGAGTGGGAGTTGTAATGGAGGTAGGAAGCAGGCTGGATTTTATTAGTCTTCCATCATCTTTAAGAGACCCCTAAGCAGATCAGGTTTCAGCCTCTCCCTCCACTCCCGTGTCAGTCGTTGGTTCTGTTTTTGCTGGAGGATAAGTTTCATTATATTAATAAGCAGCACAAGTGGTTCCAATTGTGGAAGAACCACTCTGAGCTGTCAGAAATGATCAGAGGAGAAGTTTCAGCCTTTCCATGATCACAGCCTCTTCTTCTGGTGCCTCAACTCAGCACTTCCCCAGCACACTTCACATTTTTAGCAGCCACAACAACAATAAAAGGTACCTCTACATTTCAGCTAGGGGAGGTTATTTTAAGGAATTTTATTCCCTGATCATGGTAGTACATCAGTGCTCAGAAACCAGATGCTAATGGGAATAATTGGGCTAACATCCAATCTACTGGCTGGGAGACTAGATCTAGACATGCACTTAAATGAAACTATACATCTTCAGTCTCTTACTGCAGTCAAATTCCAAACACAAATCTTTAATCATGACACTAAGCCAGTAAGTTTGCATTTCTTATTACTCATGATGAGATAGTGAGAAAAACTCACAGCAAAACACTCCAAAAGCTGGGACAGTTGGATCCCTATCTGAGAGTGATCCATTAATGCTCACCAGCAGTAACACTCAGAATTTGTCTCCCTCACATCATCCACTTTAAGGAATGGGTTTTAGCTAGACAAAATAATTAAGAATCCTTACAAGGGTGGAAATATTACTAGATTAATTGAGCAGATAGAAAAATGAGGCACAGAAGGTTTTAAATACATCTGAGTTCAACAAGCAAGCCAGTAAAGAGGAGAAGGTTAGGGTTAAGGTTAGGGTGAGCTCCAACCACTAGCAGAAAGCAGGAAGACAAGGACCCATGGAACAGGAACACATCAATCCTCATGCTGTGCCCACTGAAGCTGCTGGGATTTGTGCAGGAATAGATCTCCAGCAGCACCCACCCCCCCAGGATGCAGGACTGGGGTTTGGGTTCCTGGATTTACCACCCAAGGACTGAGAACTGCACTTCCTCCCGAGAGGTTCCCACATCGCCCTGAGAGGAACTGAGCGAAGTTTAGCTTTCAAATTAGACTCACCCAGGACTAGTCACTGAAATCTCATTTGTATTACGGAACTGAAAAAAAAAAAAAAGAGGGGAGAAATGTAAAAGGAAATCTTTGTAGCCAGGACTACCTGTGTCTCCCACAGTAGGAGACACAGGAATACTGTTTCATGTCATGGAGATGTAGTTAAAATGCAGACGGCATATCCTTGTTCTCAGAATCTGAGAGGTGTGGTTTGTGCATGTGGACAAGCCATCGTGCCTCCCTTTGATCTATCACTTGATGTAGAGGAAGGCTTTTATGTGTTAGTCCCATATAATGGATAATTTAGTCTGAAACCATTATGAAAAGTATTACATTTTGGGTACATATGCTTCAATTATTCTTAAAAGTACACAGGAATATTTTATGACATGCACACAGATTTCAAGTTAAAATTAAAAAAGAAAGAAATAAACCCAGAATTTTTGTTTACCATCCAAACAGATTTGTTTTTCTGAGGCAAGTCTGCATGCATCTTAAAAAATTCTGCCATTTTATGATTTTTTTTATGGTAGGTTATAAACAATATACTTGAATGTAATATCAATATGCTTGAATGTAATACAGAAAGTGACAGAACCATCATTCATTAAGATTACCAGTGGTCAAAGAATCATAGAATGGTTTGGGTTGGAAGGAACCTTACAGATCCTGTATTTCCAACCCCCTGCCATGGGCATGGACACCTTCCAGGCTGCTGTCCCAGGTTGCTCCAAGCCCTGTCCAACCTGGCCTTGGACACTTCCAGGGATCCAAGGGCAGCCACAGCCCTCAGGGCACCCTGTGCCAGGGCCTCAGCAGCCTCACAGGGAAGAATTTCTTCCCAATATCCAATCTAACCCTGAATTCTAACAGCAGTGGCACTGATGGCCTCCTGCAGGTGCCTGTGTGCCCGTTTCCCTATTTCTACATGAAGCATCCTCAAATAAGACACGTGTTTTTCAATCAGGAAAATCATCTTAGCTTGTAATTGCATTCCTTCTGTTTCCTTCTACTGAATAAAATGATGGCTGTGGCCCTCACACATCAGCAGTGCCCAGGCTGAGCTGACCCAACCTGTCCCCAGCCCCTCTGCCGAACTTACCTGGGATGAAAGGCTGGAATGACAGGCACAGAGTGGAATGACAGGCACAGAGTGCCAGAGCTGGCACAGAGGCTTCTTCTGCAGGCATCTTGCTGGCTGTTTTAAGGTCTTCTGCCTCTAAGTGGCACCACACTGGGTGATTGAACACTTGCTGGAATCTGTTCTACCTTTTATTGTAATGATTTCTTACAGAGCTCTGACTTTGCAAACCCTGAACTTTCAGGAGTACTGCCTGGATGTCAGAGCCCTTTTGTCAGAAAGACCAGAGCCTTCTGGAGTGATGGGCCCGGTACTACAAAATCCCTTTGGAAAGCCACAGCTCTTAACCCTTCACTGGGAAAGACTGAACACGAGGTTTTTGAGAAGGCTGTCACATCCCTGGGATTTGTAATGGCAGGGATGCAAAACACAGCCAGGCAGAGCTTCCACTGGTGTGAGCTGCCAGAGGGTTACACTCAGTTGTACCCGTCCCTGACCTGCCTTACAGTTTTGTATTTGCTTAAATTAATTAAGCCCAGACTATCTCGTATGCAACTTCTGTTCAGAAAGCAGGAAAAAATTTGGGAGGGGGAAGAAGGTGTCCCAGAATGGAGGATTCCAACCTACAAACACACACACTTAGTCTGGAGGTCCTGAAACTGCTGAAGCAAAATTCAAAGTTGCTGAAGAACTCCTCAAAGCAGCCATCCAGCACAAGAGACATTGTACTTTTTAAATCAGAATAAAGAAATCTCCTCTCAGTGCCATAAAGGGCCCATAATGCTAGATATTAGATATTTAACCATCTACCATGAAATCTGCCTTTGCTTACTACTTTATGATCCTCACACATTTTGCAGAATTTGAGGCTCTTCGCCCTCCTTTAAAATGCAGCGAGGTTTTCCCATCCCTACATCATAAAACAAAATCCACAGCCCAAACTCTGCAGCTCACAGCAACAGCAACCAAGCTACACAACGCCAGAAAATCATTAACACTTTAGGAGGATGAGAAAAAAGTACACAAAGAGGAAAGTTTTTCTGTGTTTGAGGGAAGGTTGTCAGGGCAGTAATATAGTACAGTGAGTATTGAAGACTGGGAGATTTATTTGCCAATTCTGTGTATGATTTATTTAGATTAATTGCTCTGTATCAATATGTAAAAATCCAATAAATATAACTCCCTATACAAAGGGTTGCTCCAATCCCAATGTTACAGTGGAGAGTTTTGGCAGAAAGTCAGGATGTGCATTAAAAACACACTTTTTGAGACGTCTAATAAATAAAAGCTCTGAAATATAGTTTCCCACAGAGAAAGGCATTTTAAATCATTTTGATAAAGAACTTAAATTAGGCCTTAAAAGGAGGGGGAAGCTCGATCCCTGTAACTAATTATTTATAGCTATTTTGAATATAAGACTCCAAGAAAGCTGGTATCCATCCCCCATTTTCTACCACAATAAGTGGGAAAGAAAAAGCCAGTTTCAACTCCTCCCCAGTCAAATTAAAAGTGTTAGAAGGGGGAAGAGTAAAACAAAATATGAAGCAGGCACTTGAACGAGGAAATTTCACCTTTCTGCCAAAATAAAAGATGTGGACAAGGGATGGGTCTTCAGTTCTCTGCTTTACTCAAGGGAACTGGACTGTTAACTCATTCCAACATCCCAAAGAAGAGAAAGAATATAACAAATATATTATATTTGTTAAACACTAGCAGGAATATTTTTAGAAGGAAATAAACATCTGAATAGCCCCAGTCTCTCTGAAAGTCAAAGCAATTTAGAGACTGCACAGCAGTTGGAATTACTGGGGACTTTGGCTTCTAAGTCACTTTGGTGCTTCTGGGTCTGTTACCCAAGAGCATGGCTGGCGTCCTGCCTTGGAGGATTTACAGTCTGAGGACCTGCTACCACTCCCAGCAGGAGCTGTGGGGCTGGAGAAGTGTTGGTGTGGGAGTGGCTGGGGCTGGATCCAGTGCTGGATCTCACTCCGAGCAGCTCCAGTTTGGAAGGCAGGAGGCCTGGGAAGGCTGAGGGATGAGAGACTAATGCTCAAAAGCACAGTGCCTGTGCTGGAGTTTCCTGCTGTTGTGGTTGTACCTGTCAGGCTTCCCACCGAGGTTACTGAGCTATTAATCTCTGACAGAAAGCAGAATCGCCCTCCCATTCTCAGCAGATTGATTCTCCCCGAGCTCCCTTCTCTTGCCGAGCATGGGCGTCTCCCAAGACTCTGCAAAAGGAGTTGTTCATTCTCCTCTGCTCCATCAGGAGTGTTTCCCTCTGAGCCTGAGCTCATTCCTCTCTTCAAATCTGGCATTCACACCTGTTTTGTTGAAGGGCTCAGTGAGATTTTGTACAGAACTTGCAGACCCAGGAGGTCACTAGGAGGGGGCATTTTGATAAAGAAGAGAAATGTGTGCCTTGGGAAAAAAGGGAGAGGCTCTTTGGATCCAGAGTTTAACAGAGCCTATATCTGGTCTGGCTGTGTGGCCAGAACTTCATGGGAGACACAAACACACCTTTCATTGAGGAGGACCAAGGCTTTTAGTGCCTTCCAAAGCCCACTTTGATGCCAGATGAGACTTCCAGACCTCTCTGCCAGCTTATAGTCCTCAAGAACCACCAGAGCATCCAGACAAGTCCTCTGAGGTCAGAAATGTCTGAAGAGCTCAACCACAGAGCCTCAGTGCCCAGTCTTTATATCCAAAGCCAGCACAGAAATATGTGGCCAGGTTTTCAAAAGAACTCAACAGCTTGAGGGCTTTGTTGAGCGTCTGTCTGTAAACACAACAGTGGGAACTGCAGCATGCAGCTCTGGAAATCTGGCCCAGGATGGCACTACTCAAAAAACTGGCCATGAGCCTCTCTGAGAATGCTGTCCTAAGGATCCCAGGAGGAAAAGAGAGAGGCTAATAGCACAAAAATCAAAGGTGCTGCAACTACAGATAGCAGGAGTTCTCTCCCAGTTCAAACTAGTTCTAGCATTTCTCCTAATCCACCAAAAAATAAAAGCTGCTGCACACTGAGAACCCAAAAGATAAGACCAAAAAAAAAAGAAAAAAAAGAAGTGGAAATTTGAATTTAAATTGAAACCTAAGCATTAAAAAAATTACAAAACATTTGTTGCTGTCACGAAAACTTAAACTCAGGCTTCTGACATTTTAAACTTAATAACCAAAACCATCAGCAATAATGATTTCTCCATCTGATTCAGCATTAATATTCAGACAAATGCCAGGGGCTGTCACTTCCCATATTAAGGCAATCCACATTAGTTTGCATCCAGAGCACCTATGGATGTTGTTTGTCTAATGAAAAAACTGTAATTTTTAAGCTGAAATGAAGGAAAGGAAAGAGGTGGAATAAGGCAGCTGAGTGTCTTTTGAAAAACATCAAAATGCATTTTCTTTTGAATTCCTGAAAAGGATCTGATTATTGAGGGATCCTTTCCTCTTCACTTCATTATCATTACACCGTCAGTGCTGGGCTATCTAATTACTCATCTAGAACTGGAAACTTCATTTCCATGCATTAAGGTGTAAGAGGACTGCCTTGTCTGGCTCAGCAGTCAGTACTTAAAGAACAGCTGTAAAGAGCAGAGTCAGGATGACTGCAGCACAAGAGGAAATCCTCAGTAGAATTCAAGTGCTTTATGTCTGTCATAAACACACTTCCAGATCAAATTAAAGGAATTTCTTTTAACTCTATTCACAATCTCCAAATATTCTGCTCAACGAGCTGCCTGAGATCTTAGTCATTCTAAGAAATGAATCATATTCCCCCTGTCATCTGGCTGTTCTCTGCTGACTGCTAATTCATGGTATATTGATTTTAAGACTCTGTTAACACATTATATTTTCATGCTAAGCCAGGAAAGCTTTTCTTGCTGAAAAAGCATGCCCCATCCTCATTTCTCACAATGCTCAGTTTTGTTCCTCCTCAGTTATTTAGAATGATTGATCAACACAATTTAATCAGCTTTAAATGATTCAGGGAATTGTTCCATACTATTGTACCACCTACATTGTTTTTTACCTGCATTTAACACCACAACATGAATTCTGCTTATTAGACTTGTGTGTTTGCCTAGTGATGCAAGATTTTAAAAGACCAAATAATTCTTGGACTAAGATACTGGGCTCCAGAAGAACTGTTTTATAGAGATTTTGGAAACCAACTGCTCATATAAATAACTCATTATCTAGATAGAAAAATTTAAATCAAAGACCCTTCTAATGACAGCAGTATTTTTCACCACTGATTTAAAACAAAGCAAGACTTAAAAACACCTGTGAACAGCTATGCTATTACAGATGTCAATTAAAATTTATAATAAATTAGATAATAAATATTTTGTTTGCTTCATTTCAAAAGTCATTAATGGTGAGTGAGGTCTCTCATTGGCATTAGCACAAAACTGCTGTTGGCAAAAATCTGAGTACAAAACACAAAGGCTTCATGTTTCAGATGCTTATAAAACTTAATTCTCTCCAGTAACTCCACTAATTTGGCTTAAAGATTATACATAAATATTTTTGGTGTGCAATGAGGCCACAACTTTGCTTTTATTTAAATGTTTTTAACAGCCATGAGATCTTTGTAACTTCCAAATAAAGTAGTTACATTTAAACAGTAGCTATTGAAACATTCAATAAATTTGAAAATCTTTGAGAACTTTTCATGCCAAAATTTTCAAAAAACAAGAATAAAGAATATTTAATTTCTAAGAAATGGGTATAGAAATGTTTTTTTCCATTTTATTCAAACTTTAATAAATTATTCTGCAAAATTACTTTAGTGGGATTTCTTCACTTGCAGACACTTGGTATATTAGGTGCTGGCTGCAAATATGGTGCAGGTGACTTATCAGCTTTTTCTCTGAGTATTTCTCAGAGGAAATCATTTATAAAACTTACCTTTTAAGGAAGATGAACATTTTAAATACAGAATTTCTTAGTAGCAAAAAGTTAGGCTAGGAGCTGCAACTCTGTTGATCAGCAAATTGCTGTACCAAGCACAAAACTATTTAAGACTAAAAGAACCATAAGAAGAGATAAAGTCATTAGCACAAAAATAAAAGAGTAATTTAAATTTCAATGTATAATTAAACAGTATACACACATACTTATATTTTTAAAAGTCCTCATATGTACAATACATATATATATTTCCCCCATTCTGGTGTGGAACAATATACAAATGTAAAAGTATGGCTTGTTCTGTGTGGTATAATATATATAAAAGGCAAGTTTGGGTTAGAGAATGATAAAATGTATCTGGGTTCTAAATTTAGCTGTTAACCTAAAGCTTAAATTAAGCCTAAATTAACTCTCCCCCCCAAAAAAAAATTATAGATTTGGGGAGATTCATTTTCATATGCCAGGAAACTACAAACTGGATGCAAAATCCATTTGCATGGATACATGAGGTATATAAAAGAAAAGAATTGCACTCCTAATTTACCACTAATATGTACAATCAAGTAACATCCAGAGTGAAATCTGAGGAAGCTGAGAAAATAAACCTCCTTGTATAGTGCATTATATAAGAAACACATAATACATAAAAACTCCAATTTAGGTTTTACCCAGTAATGTAAATGGTAACATAAACCTGCTATTGAGAGTAGTTTACTCTACAATTTTGGCTGGGAAATGCGCTGATGGGTAACTCACTCTTACCACTGAGCTGCAGTTTATTAAACATTTTGTATCTGAGACGTGAATAGAGCAGAGGATTAAATTAGAGGATCACTTACTGCTAAGACTAACACTTCAGTCAATGCATGATTTTGTCCATTCAACACACCTTACAAAGAACAGACCCAATTCTGCTTTCAATTACTGGGGTGCAACTTCGACTGAAGTCAACAGATGTTGCACCTCAGTAACTGTTAGCAGGACTGCACACTGAATAAAAGCCTGGGAGAAAAACTCTCTGATGGAAACATTTTTTGATGGAAACCTGATTTTTCAAATAAAAGAAAGTTTAGTGAACAGTGTGTTTCACAGGGAAAAAAAAACCCAAAAACCGCACCTTATTTTCATCAAACGTTTTTCTGCTGAACACTTGAAATATTTAGGATTTTCTTTTAAATGACAGGCCAGGATTGTTTTTGGAGGAAAGAAGGAAAGAAGGAAAGAAGGAAAGAAGGAAAGAAGGAAAGAAGGAAAGAAGGAAAGAAGGAAAGAAGGAAAGAAGGAAAGTCAAATCATTTGACATGTCACTGAAACAAAACTATGGATTGAAAAGACAAAGCCATACTGAGAATGCCAAGAAATGGAGACATGAAGTCAAGTGAGAGGATGGAAAGCTGGCAACCCTCTGAAAGTTTCTTACAAATTCTCAGTTCAATATTTTAATTCCTTAGATGGAGGGGCCATCTCAGCATGGTGATGAGCAAGGATTTCCTAAACAGAAATGAACCAAAGCATGGTCTGGGCATTTGCTGGTGGTGGGTTTGTTACCTGGCCACCAACAACAGAGAGGCTGACAGAAACACTGCTGTAGTACTTCAGACAAAACACAGGGATAGGGCTCCAAAAGGCAGGGAAATGAAGCCTCCACAAATTCAGCAATTTCCCAGGGTGTAAATCCAAGCAGGGGTTTCAGGAAGCAGGACGTGTGAAATAAGACAGGTGTCTGTCCCTGACTGAGGCAGTCTGGAAGTGTTTAGTGCATTCCATAAGCGTTGCCTCGTG